AGAGATGGATCTTGAAAACCCGGAGGTTGGACCATAAACACATCTTCTTTCAAATTCCCATGAAGAAAAGCATTGCTAATATCTAACTGATGCAGAAACTAGTTGAATTGAACAGCAAATGTTAGTAAGATTCTGATGGTAACAGGTTTAGCTACTGGACTGAAGGTTTCTTGATAATCTACACCTTTCTGTTGGTGAAAGCCTTTGGCAACAAGCCTGACTTTGTACCGTTCAATAGATCCATCATGATTCTTTTTAAGACGAAAGACCCATTTACAGCCAACAACATTTTGAGAAGAGGTAGGAGGCACAAGAACCTAAGTGCCTGTGGACTGAAGGGCATTAAACTCATTCTGCATTGCCAGTCTCCAATCTGCAGATTTAGAAGCTTGTAAATATGTAGTGGGAATCACTTCAATGGAAGAAGGAAGAGGATGTTTAGTTACACTGAAAGCCTTTGGTTTAGAAATACCATTTTTGGACCTTGTTATCATGAGATGGACATTGGTAACCTGCTGCAAATTGGATGGTTGTTGCAGATGCGTATATGGTTGTTGTGCATAGAGGGGTGGGGAGGGTATGGTATTTGGTGGGATTGAAATAAATAAGGATGATGCAAGACAAATGGGAGTGGTGGTGGAATGACAGGTTGTAGTTGGTAAGGATTGAGAAAAGACCAAATCAAAATTCTGAGATGAAGAAGAAGAATCGGAGATCACAGAGGGAGAACTAGCAGAAAAAGGAAATGTAGTTTCATTAAAGATGACATGTTTGGAAATGTAAACCCGTTGTGTTTGGGGATCCAAACACTGATATCCCTTGTGTTGAAGACTGTATCCCAAAAAGACATATTTTGTACTTTTGCCATCAAGTTTCGATGACACATAAGGCTTTAACCAAGGAAAGCATAAGCAACCAAAAACCTTGAGCCTAGAGTAATTGGGAACAATATGGAATAATAACTCCCAAGGTGATTGGGAAAGCTTAGAAATAGGTAATCTGTTGATAAGATACAAAGCAGTAGTGAAAGCTTCAACCCAGTAGTGATGAGGAACATGGGATTGCACTAGAAGAGTTCGAGCTATCTCAACTAGATGACGATGTTTGCGTTCAACACAACCATTATGTTCCGGTGTATGTGGACAAACTCAATTGATGAAGAATGCCATGAGTATGCAGATAAGACTTAAAAGAAGAGCTGACAAACTCACCCCATGAATCAGAACGAATAGTTTTGATTTTATTTCCAGTCATGTTTTCTACATAGTTTTTGAAGATTACAAATGTAGAATACACTTGAGATTTGACTTTCAAAGGGAAAAGCCAACTATACTTGCTAAAGTCATCAACAATGAAGAGATAGTACTTAAAGCCACTGACAAAGGTTATAGGAGCAGGACCTACATGTCACAATGTAACAATTCTAGGCTATGAGTATTGGATGAAAGAGAAGAACCAAAGGGTAACTTGTGATTCTTTGCTATGGCACATTCAGAGCAAAAGTAATCCACAGTTGATGATCCTTTGATAGCAAGTTTATTTGTAGTTACTAATCTACGAAATATAGACGAAGAAGGATGGCCAAGTCGACTATGCCAGAGCCTAAAAGGAGCTTGAACACTGACAAGAGCATGAGAGGAGTTGGAAGGTGATAGACCATTGGAAGAAGAGCTTTGCAAAGAGTAGAATCCATCCTTAACTGGACCCTACAAAAGCATCTTCCCCGTAGAACGATCCTTTACCATAGACACATCAAAATCAAGAGTCAATGCACAATGATTATCCTTAACAAACTGATAAGCAGACAACAGATTATGCTTCATAGAAGGAACATGAAGAACATTGCGTAATTTAAAATCAGCATGTGCAGTATGCAAGGAAGAAGAACCAGTATGGTGAATGGGCAGACCTTTACCATCACCAATATATACTTTGTCCTCTCCAGTGTATGGTGTAGGGGAGTTGATGGTGGCAATGTCAGTTATGATGTGAGAAGTAGCACCAGAATCAATAAGCCAGGATGAAGATGGTTTGGAGCTGTAAAGAGCACACATAGCCGCAAGTTTTGCAGGAGGAATTCTGCCAGAAAGCTTAGGATTCATGCGATCGAAGCAATCAAGAGCTTCATGACTTGTGGAGCCACAAATCTGACAACCAATGGAATGACTAGAAAAAGACGAGCCACGAGAACCTTGATATTGACTTTGATGTGAAGAATTTCCACGAGAATTGCCCCGAGAAACACGATTGGAATGGAAGCGATTGTTGTGAAATTGATATCCACGATTGTTGTTGCGGCCACGATTCAAGTAGAATCGAAAGGAATTTGGCTGGGACTGATGATTCTGAGCAGCAAAGGCATGAGGCGATGGAGTGGGAAGCAAGGGTGCTTGGGGCTGCACAGAAAATGCTTAAAGCAAGGGTGCGACGAGACATAGAGAGTTCTTTGGTAAGAAGAAGGCCATGTAATTCATCCAAAGAAGTAGAAGAAAGGTGAAGCATGAGTGAATCAATGAATGATTCGAACTCGTCTGGAAGCCCAGCCAGTGTTGCCGCTATGAGATCACGATCAGAAATAGGTGCACCAGCAGCCGAGAGAGAATTAGAGATTTCTTTCACATGTTGCAGATAATCGGACATAGATTGAAAGCCTTTTTGTATGGCCTAAAGACGAGATCGGAGCTGGTGGATGTGAGCATCAGAAACACCACCAAAACGGTGTTCAAGCTTGAGACAGAGATCTCGAGAATAAGAGACACCGACTGTAAAGGGAATTACATCTTCAGATAATGTGGAATTCAACCAGATTAGGAGATTTTGATCTTTCTCATACCAGATCTTAAAGGCAGGATTAATAGATCGATCCGGGAGAAAAGGCGGTGGACACAACTCAATGCCATCGATGATGCCAAGAAGCTTGTAGCGACGCAAAATTGGGGCAAACAGTGCACGCCATGGAAGATAATTGGATTGTTTCAGCTTGATAGGAACCATGCTTCCAATGTTCTGAATTGTTAGAGATGCATATGAATTCGACGAATTTGAGAAATTAGGGTTTTGAGAAGAGGAATTTGGTACTAGATTTTGCAGCGATGCAGGCGAAGATGATGAATCAGAGGGAGAAGCCATGACAGCAGAGGTGAAATTCATGAAGAACAGACACTGAATCAGAGATGCGAAGCGAAGACGATGAGGATCGAAGCGGCCGTGAGGCAAACGGCGATTGATACCGTATAGAATATCAGAGTTCTTGAGAAAGAGAGAGAAAAAGTATTTCTTAGAGATTAAGAAAACTATGATTTTTACATTGATCAAGTAGAATAAAACAATTACATATATATATAGCCTTTTGGCTATTCACTCTTAACTATCTCACACACTAATTACATGTGAAACAAACTTATATCAAACTAATAAAATCAACTCTAGTTATAATATGACATCTTCATCTTTACTTTTGTGTTTCTAAGCAAAAGTTCAGGAGGAGCCATTTTCAATAATAACAAAAACGATTGTTAGCTCTAGAAGTAGTAAAAAAGTTGTTGAAATTTCTCACCGTTAGCAATGATGACGCTAGAGAACACAACGTCTTTGAAGATACCGATGGTACGGAAAGAAATATGCTAGCTAACTAGGTTGTATAATGCGGAAAACAACTTTTTTGGTTGTTGTTGAGAATTTTCGATTTCTAGGTACTGGATATGTTCACATTTTTTGGTTGTTTGTTACTCAATATTTCGGTTGATTGCTACCAAATACTAGGAGTGATGATGAACTTGCAATATTCGGCAAAAAGCAACCAAATATTTTGAAGATTACCGATTGGTGCCTATTGCATCGTTACATATAGCATGGGGCATCCTCGATAATAATTTCTTGTTAGAGAAAACATATCTTTTCATATTGAATTTTAACAAATTGTGGGATCGTAATACAACCATATAGAGGATCGTTAAGGGAATTAAGTACCCATACAAGTCTAATGACGTTTCCACAAAGCAAAGCACTACTTCATCCAGATTCATGCGTTATGTATTCCCACTGAGATAAATGTTTTTTTTTTTCATGCTCTTTCTAGCCATGACCTTTGTAATTTTGTATACACGTAAAATGCTGCATGAGAGAGAGAGAGAGAGAGAGAGAGAGAGAGAGAGAGAGAGAGAGAGAGAGAGAGAGAGAGAGAGAGATCATCAGTTTCAAGTGATTTTTGTTTGTTTTTTACCTATACCAAATGTGACATATCAAATAATATGCAAGGACAGAAAACCAACAGCCAAGCCTAAAATTATAGTATCACACATCCCATAAAAAATCCAAATAAATGGATCATAAAAAATAAAACAAAATAAAAAGACATGGAAAGAAAGAGAGGGAATGCTTTTATAAAAGTATGTAGCATTGACTAACATAAAATATAAATAATAAAATTAAAATTTTAAAATTTAACAGTTGTATAAATTAAACTTAACGATCAATACTTATAGTAACATTGACTGATACATATCATTAAATGGGGAATGAGAGAGCGTAATGTTCAATGAATTGTGTTAGTATGCTCGTAATATGGGATGGTCCGTAACATATTATATAAGTGCAGAAAAATTTAATTTTTAAGTCCATTTCTTTGAACAATAACATATGGTGTACCATCTCATGTTCCAGGCACACTGAAAAATCTTTTACGTTCAACACACATTTGACTCAATTTTTGTCAAAATCGAATTTGAACCACAACATTATTGCTAGTCTACTGTGAGACTTAAAGTTCATTTGGATGTGCTTTTAAAATGATTAAAAACGTTTTTAGTGAAAATATTTTTGGGTTTCAAAAGCATTTAAAATGCTTTCTCAAAATTTACTTGCATCTTTATTAAAAAAATAATTTTAAAAATATTTTCACCAAAAACGCTTTCAATCATTTTAAAAACATTCTCATCAAAGTTCAGAATAAAAAAGTAATAATAAAAACAAAAGTAATTTCTTTCAGGAAAAAAAAAAAAAAAAAAAAACTTCCCAACTCATAAATTATTAATTCACAAATCACAATCATATTCTTCCGATTTCCCAATCTCTCTCGATCTCTCCGCCTAATATCTGTTTTCGTTTTTGTTTCCAAATTAATTCCAACTCCACCAATTTTTTGCAATCGAATCGATCGAATCCGATGAGCACAGGCGAGCTCCTCAGCATCGAGCCTCTGGAGCTCAAGTTCCCCTGTCAGTATAACACGCTCTCTTTCTCTTTCGATCTGTTTTTCGTTTCCAGAAATTTGCATGTTGTGGTTTCGTTTCTGTTTTCAATTTGCGTTTTTTGTTTTTGTTTTCAAATTTCTCCAGTCGAGTTGAAGAAGCAGATCTCCTGTTCGCTCCAGCTCTCGAATAAGACCGATAGCTACGTCGCCTTCAAGGTCAGCCTCTTTTGTTTTTCCTTTTGTTTATCTGTATACATACACACACACACACACATATATATGTATACACATGTATATATGTATGGATATATTGTAATATACACTCTTGGTTGTTGGGAAAATGTAGGAAAAAGGAGAGCACTAAGAATGTGATGATTATATAATTTGCTTTTCTTTTTGGAACCTGAAAAATTACTGTTTCCACTTGGTTGTACTTAAATTTGTGTTATTTTTTAAAAATATTTACGTGTTTTTGTAATTCGTAACATCAAATCTGTAATTCGAATGGGGTTTTGAATTTTATCTGTATTTTGATAATGCCAGGAGGCTGGTAGAATTTGAATTTAGTTTGTGAAGTTTCTAGTTTTGCTTTGGAGGTTGGATATTTATTTGATTATGTTCAGGTCAAAACTACGAACCCGAAGAAGTATTGTGTTCGTCCGAACACCGGAGTTGTCTTGCCTCGATCCACATGTCATGTTATAGGTGCATACTAATTATTATTTGTTTCTGTGATACATAGGTTCATAATATACATCATCGGTTTCTTTAAATATTATTTGTTTGTTGCAATATAGTTACAATGCAAGCCCAAAAAGAGGCTCCTCCGGACATGCAATGTAAGGACAAGTTCCTCCTCCAGAGTGTAAAAACTAACGATGGTGCAACGACAAAGGATGTTACTCCTGAAGTGGTAGTTATATTACAGAATGTTGTTTGCAATTTAGCACTGATGTTTTGTGTACTTATGCCGAGTTTTATTCATTGTGGAATTGGCTCTGTGTAGTTCAATAAAGAGGCGGGACATGTGGTTGAGGAGTGCAAATTGAGAGTGGTATATGTTCCTCCACCTCAACCCCCTTCTCCGGTTCCAGAAGGTTCAGAAGAAGGGTCTTCACCAAGGGTTTCTGCTACAGAGAATAAAAATGTGAACAGTTCTGAGTTTTCCAATGTGAGTACTCGAGTTATGAGACTATCCGAAAGGTTTTTTGTCTTCAGTCAGCAAAAAGATATTGACCGGCATGCTGTTTGTTGACGATTACAGGCTGCAAAAGCATTTACTGAGCTTGAACCTCAGGAGAGATCTGCAGAGGTACAACATCATGTCTGAGTATATGTGTCTTATACCTTATCCAGTTTCTGAATTTTTCTTATTTGTTTTTCAGAAAGTCTGATATGATGTTGTTAGGCCAGATGTTTGTTACATTATCTGTTTATTTAACTTTTATTATTAATTATGACCAAGACCGTGTAAGAATTTACTACAAAAATTGAAAGTTGGTTTTAACTAGTAAGCATGTCAATAAACTTCAAGCGAACATTTAGTATCTTTGTTTTTTTTATTTTTTTATTGGCTAATGGGTTTGATGTGGAGTCAAATACAATTTGTCTAGCCTGATAATTTTTGGTGAACCTCTCTTCTTCTTCAAATCTGTGCTGTATTATACTAAAATTATATCTTAAGTGAAATCCTTTTACAGTGTGATTCATTTTATATTGTGAATGTTGGTCAAATGTTGGCTCTACACGGAATTTGAGTTCTTTTGTATGATATAACAGTGCATGTTGTACCAAGGTATTTTCTTTTTCTTTTATTAGGTTTTGCATTTGTATACTTTCAGAATTTTGGTATGGGATGTGCTCTTTAACGTTTTTTATGTTCTTAATGGCTTATAATAATCTATAGAGCCGAGTGCCTTAAGTGATGAATAAAAATAACAAGCGTTTGGTTTGTTTTCGTTTACCTTGAAAAATGCAGTTGAGTGTTCATGGTCTGTTTTTGGTAACTTCGTTTCTTACACATAAGTATATGTATAGTGTTACAAAGAAAACTACGGTTGACATGTTCTGAATTAGGATTAGCCCATCATTTGAGAAAGGACTTGAAATATCATGGTTTTTGTCCCTCATTCTGTCACCTTCCATGGCTTAGCCTTCCCTGAATTTGAGGCTTGTCCATAAATTGTGGATGTTTCCAGATTCCATGTTTTAGTTTATCCTGATTGTTCCTTGGATGACTAGTGTTTTCTTGCTCATTGACTGCCCTTGATATCTGGTTGCGGGATCTCAAAGCATCATACATATCAGAAATCTTAACTATTTTATGATTTGAATGGGGGTAAAAACTCTTACCATTTCTTGCAAATGAAAGAGTATGTATATTTTTTTTTCATTTAGACAGCTTCTTTTGTGTTTTACCTTCTTCCCAAAGTTACCAATATTGCAATCTGTCTACACAAGATATCTCCCTAAGTAGTAGTCTACCACATAACTAGTGGTGCTTGCAGTGCTGCTTCTTATATACGTTTACTTTTAAAATTGCAGGCAAGATCACTTATTTTGAAATTGACAGAGGAAAAGAATAAAGCAAATCAACGAAGTAACAGGCTTCGTCAAGAGCTGGTGAGGGCTTAGTATGCAACTTTAATGGAATTGTTTTTGTTCTCTTCTTTACCCTTTTTCTTTACCTTCTCACCCTTGTGTATGCATATTTATCCTCGAAAACATATGCCATAGTGATTATATAGTTCCAATTTGCAATGGTCATAATTGGTCTATCATAAAGTGGGATGTAATTATGGTTTTACTTCGTTCATTCCTGTTGACTGTTCCCAGAAGCTTAAGCTGTTAGGATGTGATCCAGTAAGATATATATATTCGAAGACTATCCCTCATATGTGTCTCTCTCCACCACTAGAGCCCCCAGTAGATGTTAAAGTATGTTGGTGACCCCTACTCCCAAAAGTTTTGTTGTATATTCTAACGATATCAATAGAAAATCTAGCAGCTCTATAAATTCACCGTGTCATCCTCACCTTTTCCCTTCCAAATTTATGCAGTACAGAAATTCTTCAATTTAGTTTTTGACAGTTTCTGATATGATTTCTGATATATGTTTTATTTGATAAAATGCGCACCAAGAGTAGATGAATTAGCCACTCACTAATGTGGGTACTAGGTCTTGAATCTTGATAAGAAGTCTGAGGGTAGATTGGTTTATTTTAGCTGAACTCGTTAATAAGGTTGTTTCCGAAGCAATGTGAAGACAGTTGTTATTTCTTTGATTTTTACTCTTCTACCTTAATCATGTTCATAGTAAAGATGAAAAAGGCTTTGCACTGTTTCTTCCATGGATTTCACTGTATCGGATTGTTAACTCTCTTGCTTCCAAAATATTGTTGCGTTTTACTTACTAAGTTATTGTGTAGGAACTCTTGAAGCGTCAAGGGAGCAAAAGTCGTGGTGGCGTTTCAATCCTTTTCCTCATTATTATTGGCTTAATTGGATTACTTTTGGGTTATCTCATGAAGAAGTCGTAAGCACTCTGTTAATCTGCTGTCAAATTGTTCCCTTCTTAGTCATTGAAGAATGATGGTGAAAGGGAGAAATTAAGGAGGGGGAGGGTGGCTCATTTTTAGTTAGCGTTGCTAATGTTTCGAAACTTGTTTAGGTGGGTCTTGATCGATCTTAGGTGCTGGAACTCTAGATTAGCGTGTGGGACTGATCTTCGGAAAGCTTACATTCTTTTTGCAACTTAAAAGGGATTATTTCACTTTGTTTCTTTTGTGGTTCGACGTGAGAGATTTTGGTTAACTGTATCTTTGATGGTTAATAATTTAGGATGAGGTTCCTCTCCGGTTCCTCTTTGTGAGGATTCTGGGATCACTTTATGAGCGGACATAAAGTGATCTCCGGGATCCTCACAAATAGGATCCGGATAGTATCCTATTCCAATAATTTATACATCTCACTGTGATGTAAAACACAAGTTTGGTTGTTTTATACTATTGGTGCTTGTTCAATTTTGTTAGTAGCCATCTATGTTAATTAATCTGGTAGACAATTGGATCTGTAAATAGAATTTAACCATTTCGGTTTTAGGGATGTTATTATCACGGTATAAATAGATGATAAGAACATCATTTTGCTTAAAAATAAGGAATGCGTTATTTTCTTCTCTAAGTTGTTACTAATTTCAAACAAGTACCATCTTTTTGGATACAATCTAATTATTATTGTAGAAACTAGAAAATGCAACCAAGAAGGAGCTCAAGCATTCCACGTCGTACGTACGTTCTAGAACAATAATCATCCAAAGGAAATGCTTTCATTGGGTGTTTTTCATCTTAATTTCATTACTATTTAGTACTTGCCATATATTCTTGACACCCACTAATTCTCCTTCTTCCTAACAACTATCTAAACTACTAATGCTATTCGTTTATTAAAAAAGAACTATATATTCTTGCCGTTGTTGCGACCTATTTGTAGTGAAGGAAATAGGAGGCGGTGCAGCACAGGCAGGGAGGGAGGGACTCATATCTTGTGCTTTGGTTTAAATTGATCATCATAGGTTTTATTTGACCTACAAGTATTCCAAAAACCAATAGGAAAGAATCTTGTAGATTACATAGGTTTCCTATATATATATCTACATATATATAGGAATATAACTACAACACTCCTTTGAGTGTGTAAATACTCAAGTAGTTGGTGCATAAGATCTTCAAGCAAATGTAGAAGCGGTTGATAAAGTCGTATCGTCTAGTCGACATAAGTAGCAAACACGAGTCTCAAATACGGAGTGCATATAGGAGTAGGTCTCATAAAACTTGTCTATGATAATAATCAGTAACGCAAAATGACACACCTGACCCAAAATGTCCACTAGGACTCCGAATCGAGCTATGTTTGCTGATACCTGGAAGGTAACGAATCCATAAAGTGTGATGATGTGGAAAAAAAAATGAATAAATTTAAACCTAAGAGTGCCTAAATACCAGAGTGCATTGGTGAGCAGGAATGAACCCACTTCACACGTGACGTTAGAGCATAAGTAAATACAGAAGAGTGAATTAAGAATCGTACCCTCGAAATAATCTCCAATACTAAGAATCGCCACGAATCTTCGACAATAAGAAAGCTCAGCTAATAAAACCTGGAGGGTGAAGACAAGACAAGGGTGAGTGGCCCTATAAATAAAATTTTAATAGAAACCATATAAAAACATTATAACCCCTCGCTACAACACCTGTATAATTTCCAGAAATATCATAAATATACCACAACACAGCATCTCGTCAGCAATATCAAATGATCATGTGATTAATAACTCATACTATGGTGACCTATGGTGACCTGTATGACTTACTAATATCTCATCACATATACTAGTCCATCACATATTTCATCACATATACTAGCTTATCACATATCTCATCACATATGCTAGCTCATCACATATACATCACATATGCTAGCTCATCACATATTCATCACATATGCTAGCACATCACATATTCATCACATATGCTAGCTCATAACATTTTCATCACATATGCTAGCTCATAAGTCGGAGTCACCTCTAGTGACCCGTACGACTTATCCATAGCTTAATAAGTATACCTGCACATGAGTTGGAACCACCTAAAGTGGTCAGTACGACAAGATTGGGTGTAAATAAATACGCTCAAGTGCTATGATCACGTGAAGACTGTGCGAATAATCATGGGTCACCTACGAGTCGGAACCACCTATAGTGGTCTGTACGACATGACTGTGCACCTACCTTGGATCCAAGGTGAGCTTAAGGTGCGGGAGGTGAACATCACGTGAAGGACTGTGCCTTGGCCACGGGCGGGAGCACTAACACCGGGATGCAAGTTTATGAGCTCTCAATGCATCTCAACATAACATGTACGATTCATGAGTAACCCGTACGATAATGTCAGGGTTGCTTAAGACATAATATAGTCATGCCATAACCCCATCATGTCAACTAATACCATAAACTCACTTGAACTTACCTGGGTGTCCTGAGTTCACCTTCGCGCTTCCAAGCATTTACAAAGATTATGTGCAGGTAATATACATATGAATATGCCATGATGCAATCAAAATTCAACTATAACATAGTATTCCCAAATATATATATATATATATATATATATGATAGGAGCATATTTATGCGACTTAGTTAGCTTGTTCTTGTGCATTTGTGTTGTTATTTCTTAGTTAATTATGTATTTTAAGCTATTTTCGTGTGTTTATAGGTCATAATAACAAAGTTGGCAAGAAAGTGCATTTTGGAGCATTTTAGAGCATTTTTGAACCAAGATTGGATAGTGCAAGCATGGAGACATGAGGATGGACGTTTTTGAAGATTTGAGGGCTAGAAATCAACATGTGTGTGTGCAAGTGTGTTGACCTACAACTCCAAACATCCATCCACTACACCCATTACATCCACTCATTACCAAACATCCACCCACTACACCCATTACATCAACTCATTACAAACATTCATCCACTACACCCATTACATCCACTCATTACCAAACATCCACCCATTACACCCATTACATCCACTCATTACCACAACAGTCACCCACTACACCCATTACATCCACTCATTACAACTCCATACACTCATCTCCCTAGCCTATAAACACATCCACCCTTCACCATAATTTGGGGGACCATCATCCAAAGACACTACATTTCACATCTCACAACTTCATTCACAAACACAATTTCCTTGCCGTGACCTCCATCCATTCATCTAGCCATACTACATCTCACCAATCCATACACTTTCATCTCTTAGCCGTGCAAATCCATTCCATCCATATATCCATACATCCTAGACACTTGTGCTACAACAAGGTGGTGAAAACAAAGGTCCTCGGCGTTTCAAGCTTGGAACTTTGGAGCGTTTTAGGTGTACTTCGTTCTTGCTTTCAATGTCTACTTTGTTATTTTCTAATTTTGTTGCAATTATGAGTGGCTAAACCCCTATTTAGTTAGGGGGAAGTTTGAAGCCATGAACATGCTTGAGATTTGAATTGATTTATTCCAATTGTGATTTGATAAGTTGTGATTGCAATTCAATTATCTATTTTATTCATAACTGATTCTTGTATGTTTATTAAGGATGCATACTTAGTTTTCATACATGAATTAGATGCTAGAATATAAATGAGTTTCTCCTAATCGCTACAAGTTTATATTCATGAGTAGTGAAGGTTGTTTATCACAATCGCGTTAATTGAATTCTTGGCAATTGTATCATGCATTCATAGTTATAATTGCCTCGTCAACACTTAGGATTTTCATTGAATGTAATGATCTCTGATTGTATCTCTATTATGCATTCATATAGGGGACTTTTAGAGAATGATTTGGGTTGTCGCATGCATTCATCCAATTCAATGAGTAAAGGAAAATCTTAGGGTTAATTTGTGCATCACGGTTAATATGGGGTGTTGAGCATCATAGTTTATTGAAAAGCAATTGGAAATCAATTCATGTCCAAGTGTGTCATGTGCGAAGAACGGACCTCTAACTAATCCATCCATCATCTCATTTCTTAAATTCGCTTTACAATCTGTCTAATTTTATAAGTTGTTTGTTCGTTTCGAATTCGTCAAAACCAAAATCCCCCTTTTACTTTGTTGTTTCAAAGTGTTAAATTTATATTTCGTTAGTGTTTTTTAGTGTTTTGATTCAAGTCAAAACCCAAATTTCGTCCAAAGTTGTGTTAGAGTCAAATCTGCCCAGTAAGTGTTTTTAGGCAATTTTGAGTGTTTTTTAAGTTGTTTTGCGTCTTTAGAATCTGTTTTGAGTCATTTGAGTCTATTCAAACGTTTTTAACTTTGTTTTTATGTCTTTGAGTTAGTTTAGAGGTTTTAGCAAGCCCTCCTAATCCCCGGTTTAGAACGATCCCTACTTGCATTTATACTACAATTTGACAACAAGAGGGTTTAATTTGAGTGCTTAACTTTCATCGCATCAATATATATGGCATAAAATGCATAATTCGTAACGCCCTACCCCCCGAACTACTTATTTTTGGAAATAATTATCGATGATAAGCCTAACTAGGTACTAGTTTAATTAACTATCATTACTTACATTTCCTGACTTCAAATTCCTGATTCTTCACACATTGATTTATGACCAATATTTAACCACCAAATCATAAGGTTAAATCTTATATTTTCCACCAATGTCCCTCACATTACTCAATTCCTTAAACAAGGCTATTGTCTCAATTATTTAGTCTCATTTATTGTATGGTTGCAACTAACGTCTCGTTAGACTATCTACATACCCTAAATAGGGATCAAGCCATTCGTAGTTGACAATAATTACTTCAAAGCATTCACAATAATTGTAAGCCATAATCAATTTATAAACGTTTATGAAATTATCAATCATATATATATATATATATATATATATATATATATATATATATATATATATATATATATATATATATATAATATACGATGGAAAGGAAAAGACCCACTCACCTGAGGTCCGCGCTACGACTAGCATGCATATCGAGACATTAGGAACCATTGTCGCTATCAATTCACATCTTAGAGTTCTGATCGATAAAAATACATAATTTACATAAAACACACCCCTAAGATTTGATCCGGAAGATCCGCATTATGATTTCCGATCCGTTACTTCCAAAGATTCACATTATGCTTCTAGAATAACATCCTAAAATTTCATTATAATCCAACGGTTAGATCTCTGCCAATTGCCAAAAACCAAGTGGCGGTCAACATTTTATTTTATGAACTTACAAATCCAATTCGGGAAGATTTGTGAGTTGGATTCCTGATCCGTAAGTTTCTATGTTCCTTAAATATTATGTACTATAATGTATTAAAGTTGGTGACTATCCAACGGTCAGATCATAGATTCACATCTTTACCAAGTAACGTATCTTAATGAATTTAGGTCCAAACGATCAACCTACGATATACAATCACCAAAATTGAACTCAAGACA